TTTATAATGAATTTTAATAAATTTTTTGGATTTTTTTTAAGCTTTAATCTGACCGACTCAGCCGATTCCCGATCCGGATCGGTTTTTGAGATGCCCGATCCGGGTCACCGATCCGCTTTTTAAACCATTGCTTCAAACTTCATTTTTAGATTTTCTTGGATGGACATGCTAGAAAAACACATATATGGATACTTTAACATGCACATTGTGGACACAATTTATAATGCAAAAAATTGCATCTAAAAACCCCCATATGCCAACAAATACAAATGCATGAGTTGTCTAGATATAAACAGATAGGGGAATACAGTAGATGGTAAGATAGATAACATGCGTAGTTAGTAGTTAGTGTATTGTAAAGTTGCGAACATAGTTTATCAAGATCAGCATACAAATGTAAGGGCATTAAAATCAGCAGAGGAGGAAATAGCACAGAGAATTTCAAATCAGAAAATATTGAAAGAGCAAATTGAAGACAATATGTAACCCATAACCAAGCAACTCTGCAAATAGTCATTCGAAGAACTCATGACTATGTGTCCTACGACAATAATAAGAGTAACCAACTAAAATGGTGCAGAATGAGTTAAGCCATTGAAGAAGCCCAATAAGCCCAATAGTTGGCATCATATAGGCTACTAAATGAGCATTGCAGAGTTATATGCTTCATTTTTTTATGGGTATTACTTATTGTTTCAATGACAAACAAATCAGATACATGGCAGATCCTTTAGTAGTAGACCTTAATATGCTTTCAATTGTGCCATGTTCTTCAGGAACATATCCCAAATAAAACAAATGTAATCATGCATCTGTCCCTCACTTAAAAAAGTCCCTCTACCAAAAATGCTTCTCAATTCATAGCTATAACTGAAAATTAACCTTCAAGTTATACATGAACCAGATTAGAGTCATAGGAACAAGCATCCAAATCTAGACTTCAGAAATTCACCATAATCATTCGTTTTTCCACTCAATGTTCAATTACTTTTTAGAAATTCAATAAACCTTTTCTTTTAGCAACTGAAGATCCTAATCTTGCTTCATGGAACAACAATCTAGCCCTAAAAACTAAAACCTCAATTCACAATGACAAATTACCACAGCCACAATTCATGCCTACAACTGCTACCACTCCATACTCTAATAAAAAACTCACTTCTTCACATTCCGACACCGCTGATTCCAAGCAAAAACCACAAAATGAAGTACAATACATCCAAAAAAAAGACAAAATAATATCTCGAACCAAATAATTCAGAAGATCCAAGCGAAACCACAAAACCTCGACATTAAAATACAAATAGAGAGGTAAAGGACTCAAAAGAAGAAGAACCGACCGTGCATAGAACGGCGCCATGGAAGAGAGGTCTGCAAATGCAACCAACAACTTCTGAAACCCTTTTATCGTGACAAAGGAAAGTGAGGGAATTCTAACACGGAACTTATGGTTAATTTTCAGTCGTAAATCATTAATCAAACTCGTTAATTTCAGATAATATCGCTGCAAAATGAACTTTCTTTTTTTTGTCTTTTCTTTTCCTTTTTCTTTGATTGCGGTCTGGGAAAGTAAATGTTTTTGATCCCCAATCTTGTATACAACAAGAGAGCGGGGAATCTTGGAAATGAATGTCATTTTTTGTTCAATTATTAGGACTAGGAAAAGGAGGTTATAATTGAAATCAACGTGGGTGTGGGCCACGCCTTGTTTGAGTGTGGGGCCATGCTCCCTCTTGGAATGTACGATGAGGAGAATGGAGGATTTGGACTTGTTTGTGTGGGAGCTCTTGGCAATGGAACAATTTGCAGAGAATTTGGAAATATTGTAGCAAATAGATTTCTTGTTCCGGCGGGAGTATATTTTCCATATCCTTCCACGGGCAAAACTTACTCTAGGATAACTTTTTTATCCTAAGTTTTGGGAGATGTGATCTCAAATGACAGAGAAAATAAATTGAACTATCACTCTCTTTCTTCCTAAAAAAACAATAGGGAAAAGTTTATATAGAACTAGGCTCTAAACAATCAAATTGGAGCCTATCACAAAAATTTGACTAGAAGAGGTTGTTTTGATATTCAAACATTCTTAAATTGATCATCTCAACATCAAGATGCTTGGACATGAGAAAAAAATAGATTTCAAGTTTTGGAAATAGTATATTGTTGTAACGCATTTTTGGACCGTCTCCTTCCAGGGCCTATCCGAAAGAGAATTCAATGCCTCTTGGTCGTGAATATCTCAATAGGACGAACGGGCCTACGTTGATATCGTTGCTTTGCTTCGGGACAAAACAATTAGAATTAGGCTCGATCAATTGGAATGTGTATTATCCATATAGGAGATATTCCAATTGAGAAGATCTATCGACGTGAGACGAAGAGAAAGATCTATCTATTTGATTTAGTTATTCAGTTTAACCAATGAATTTCAAGATTTTCAAGTTTTAATAGATCTGACGATCTACACTATTTTTGAAGCTTTAAACTTTATAAATAAAGGTGAAAATATATTTTGAAAGCTATCACAAAGATTTACAGTATTGAAACCACATTTCTCGACACTATTTGAAGGTAGGCTCTAATTTGATTGTTTAGAGCATAGGCTCTATACAAACCCCACCCAAAAAAATATCATCCTAAGATTGCACCAGCCATTTTTAGAGGGAATGATCTAGATGTTTATAAACTCAAATCTAAAAAAAATTAAAATAATCTAGTTATAATTAGATGGATCCCAAAACTTCAAATATAAAAAAATCTCCCAAGTTAGTGATTTGCCTAAGAGAGTAAATCCATAATATGCTCCTGAAGGAGCATAGTATATGCACTCAATTCATAGTGCTTCAGTTAGCTATCTCTCCTGACATGTATGCTGTTTAGGTTGGCAAACCTTTTATGAGGGAGTGGACCTTCGACCTTGATCGACGATGGTGCAGTATGGTAAATGGGTTCACATGCACATGCCGATTAGCGGCAAGAAATTTTGGTGTGAGGCCGTAGGCAAGTGGTATGGACAAATGGCCAAGTCGGTCGGATTTGGTATACACCAATAAGCTAGATTTGATTGATTGGACAATGGGCAACCTAACTTAAGAGAGATGGGCCACAACATTTAAGTGTGGTAATTTAATTTGAAATATGTAATTGCCCAATGCGTAGCTTGGGTAAAGGTTATGGCCATGTGAAAGTGGTTGAAACCATATGTAATTGTGGAGATTGCAATAAAAGCAATCAAAGAGAGATGGAAATAAATCAACGAGGTATATGCATGGTTCGGCAATAATGCTTATATCCACATAGGGTAATGCAGATTCGCATTTTTGGGACTACCCTGATTTACCAAAGATTTATAGAGTCACAATTTTGTTTTAGAAACAAATTTCATTAGAATTGTAATCCCCAAGATAGGAAACTCAATATCTCTTACAAAATAAAAAACTCTATTTTATTGCTATAACTTTCAACACTCTCCCTCAAGTTGGTGCGTAGATATCCACAGAACCCAACTTGGACAGTATTTGATGGAATTGTCTTTGGAATAGCTTTGTTAAACATGTCTACAAGCTAATATTCACTTCGAACATAAGGAGTACTAATAATTTTTTTATTGAATCTTTTTTCTTACAAAATGACAATCAACTTCTATTGCTTGATTCTTTCATGAAAGAGTGGATTGGAGGCTGTATGGACACCTGCTTCATTATCACATAACATCTCAACTGGATTGGATGTTTGGAACCACATATCTCGAACTAGTGATTTCAAACATAACCATTCATTTGTAGTTTCAGCCATAGCTTTATACTTAGTCTCTGCACTAGATTGTGCAACTACATTTTGTTGTTTTCTTTTCTAAATGATTAAGTTCACCTCATGTCCATTGGACTACCTGCCCAACCTACATCAGAAGAACTAATAATATTAGTGTGCCTATTTTGTTTCATCCAAATACCTCTGACGAGTGACAATTTAAGATTTTTGAGAATCCTATCGACAACCTCCATGTGACATGATCTATGATCATGTATAAATTGGTCACAAGGCTAACTGCATATATTATAATTAGTCGTGTCATAGTCAAATAAATCAATCTGCCCATAAGTCTCTGAAACTGATCAACATCTTCATGAGGTTTACCATTATTTAAATTAAGTTTTCAATTAAGATCAATGGGGGTATCAACGGATTTGATTCCCATTTTCGCAGTTTTCTTCAATAAATCTAAAACATATTTCCTTTGAAAAATAAAAATTCTTTTTTTTTAATGAGCTACTTGAATGCCAAGAAAATATTTTAGTTAACCTAGATCCTTGATATCAATTTTTTCTTGAGTATAATTTTTAAGCTTCATAATGCTCTCTATCATCACCTATAATTATAATATCATCAACATAAATAAATACAACTATTATACCTAAGGTTTCACTTTTTATGTACATCGAAGAATCAGCTGAACTTCTAAGAAACCCGACACTCATCAAAGTTGAACTGAGTTTAACATACCATGTACAGGGTGATTGCTTAAGTCCATCAATGCTTTTTTTAATTTGTAGACAAAACCTTTCTCATTTTCTTTAGGATGGATTGGAGGAAGACTCATATTGACTTCTTTTTCAATATCACCATATAAACAGACATTTTTAACCTCCATCTGATGTAGAAACCATCCACAATTAACTGCGGTCGACATAAGAACTCGAATGGTATTCATTTTGACAACTGGTGCAAAAGTATATTTATAGTCAACTTCATCAGTTTGGGTACATCTTTTGGCCACCAACATGGTCTTATATCTCTCGACATACCCATCACTATTGTATTTGATTTTAAAGATCCATTTACACTCAACTATTTTCTTTCTTGTAAGTAACTTTATAATGTCACAAGTATGGTTATTGTCAAGTATTTGTAGTTCCTCTTTCATGGCATTCTTCCACACAGGTTGAAAAATGGCATTGTGAAAACTTGATGATTTATAATTATTAGAAATAGAACTCAAAAAAATAAAATAGTCAGGAGAACTATCATTATGGGAAATAAGATTTTGAATTGGATAAAAAAACTGCATGGTAAGTATCTAAATGTTGAAACCTATAGTAAGGTGGAGAGACACAAGCAGACATGAGCATAGGGGGTTCAAGTGGGGCCACGACGGCTTCATCTTTTTCCAAACCAGCATGGTGAGTTTAAGAAATATCTTCAACTTCGGTGTGATCATCATGATCATTTTTTTTAATATAACTTGATCTAGATCTATTGGAAACATCATTAGTATTAACATTTGGCAAGGACAGAAAACCTCTGGAACACTCCCTCTGAGTCTTATTTTCAAAACGACTTTCTGGAGTGTCATTGAAATAGAAATCAGTTTCAACAAATTGAGCATCTCTGCAAGCATACATTTTTCTACTTGGTATACAATACCAATATTACATAGATACTCAAAAAAGAAACTTTGTTCACATACTTTGTGTCATTACCAGTTCGCAGAATTTTAATCTTGCCATTATATTGATTGAAATTCCAATTGGAAAATTCTTTTAACATAGCAAAAAATTATACTTTTGATTTTAATAAATACACCCAAGTAGCATGAGATCAATCATTGATAAAAGTAACAAAAAATTTAAAGCTATAATAAGAATCAACATGTATCAAATAAAAGGGTTTCTCTGAAACATGCATAGAAGACCAAAAGGGAAGTCTTGTCAGTTTTGAGAATTTACAAACTTCACAAGAATGAGATTTTAAAGATAAAGAAAGTATTAAAAATTTTAAAACATTATCTGAAGGATGTCCAAATCTCCAATGACTTAACTGACAACCAAAGCCTTATTCTCCTGAGTAAATAGATATAACTCATGAAACAGTTTTCCTTCACCAATCTTCCTCCCAGTGGCCTGGTCTTGAAAAGTCACATAGTTATGAGAAAATATAATATTGCAATTCATGCTTTGAGTAATTCTACTAACAAACATCAAGTTAGAGAAAAAAAAAATATATAAATAGAACTCTAAAATTATCAGATTTAGAGAAAAATTTAATCTTACCAACACCATGGACAGGAATCAAATAATCATTGGCAATAAGCACATGGTTCATACTACCATTATTTTTGAAGTTAGATAAGTACTTTAAGTTACCAGTCATATGATCTATGGCCCCTAAGTTTATTACCCAAGGAAAAGTGTCATAGGAAGACATGAAAGCACAAAGATACATGTATATCAGGAGGATGAAAGATGATACTGTGCAGAGGAAGAACCAATTTCGTTATGTAGTTGCTGACAATGATCACAGTTGTAGCGATGAGTCTACGTGGTTGCGTCCTAGGTAGTGGCTCTGTCGAATGTCTTATTATTGACAGGCCTTAAGTGTGGGTATAACATCCAACATCTATCCTTCACATGTTTTATGTTGTTGCAATGGTCGCATCTTGGACGTGTTCTATTACCGCGACCTCTACCACTACCGCGATAATTGTTAGGACCTTTACCTCCACCACTATTTTGAGGTTTTTTTGTTTCATATTTTTTTATTATTAGCAATCAAAGCAGATTTCTCAATACTTTCTT